ATGGAATTCAGGGTTGCTTTGCTCGCTCTTTGTGCTTCTGTTGAGGCTTCCACATGCATATCATTGCAGTGAAGATCTTGCTTTTGTGCACTTCAGTTCTGTTTCTGCTGCAGACTAGTGGATAGACCTTGCATTACCAGCTTCACTTAAAATTAGTTAAAACCAATCCACACGCACACACGCCGAATCATGTACCAGCCTTGCATTTTATGGGGCTGGAGTTTTCTGTGACACTCAGATTATCATTAAACTGTTTCATCAGGGAGCTTTTATATGCCTCTCCTAAGTACCACCTCTTTGTTTTCTCTTCCTTTGCTCACAGTCTCCCAGCTTATTGGTATATGGCATTTTTAGCCAGGTCAGTTGCACCCTTGTGTAATTCCTAACATAGTTCTGGTTGCAGGATTTGTGTGGTACTTTAGTAGTTGTGAATAAATCAGATGTATTTGTCTGGCAGACAGGCTCCAATGATAAAGCTTTTGAGAGAGTAAAATGCTGAACATAGCACTGAAATTTCTAAAACTGAAATGTTGGCTTCTGAAGCATTTTAAACATTAAGTTTAAATTTTAATATAAGTCATAAGTGTGTTTAATCAAGGGACAATAAACTTACCAGCATGCTTTTAACTAATGCTAACTAAAAGAGAAGCTAGTTAGTATGGGAGAGAAAAGGCTACTATTGAAATAGTAAATAGTTTTTCACCTTATCAGCAGATGAGGGCTAAAACCTTTCTTTCCAGAGTGTGCATATGTTGTGCATTTTATTGGGGCCAACCTATTTACTTGGGTAGAGAAGGAAGTGTGAAAACTTTGTACCATTGATTACTTGACTTTTTTTTGTCTCATTGTGTAATGAGCTGTCAGTTCTGTTTTTGGTCCTTGGCCAAATATTCAGGAACTCTGGGAAAAAATGTAAGAAATTGAAATATAGATAATAAAGTAATCTGGTGAGAAAATCAAAGGCAAATATTGATACAAAGGGGAAAACATATGGTACTTAAAGCATATCTATATAATGAGAATATTTTTCATATTGATCTCCTTTATCCTCTTCAAATGATGGCGCTTTTTTTGTGGTCAAACATTTCTTGTCGTGCTACAGAGACACAACTTCCTGTGTGGTAAAAAAAACCTTCCCCAGTGGTATTTTGAACATGCCTATATTCTTAAACCTTGCAGAGAGGAATGACAGGTCTGAGCAAAGGCATTCCTTCCTTGTTTTAAAAGCAGTATAAACATCACACCTATTTATTCACTCACTACACATACCGTTACTTTGCATTTTGAGTTGTCATGTGCTTTTCCTTCCACCAAAGAAAGGTTTCTCTACAATGTTGAAAAAACTCATAGGCTACTAAAAGCAGTATTTTAAGAACAATAGCTTACCAGATTTCTCAGAAAATACGTGAATGTTGAATATTTTCTTGTACAGGATGAGGGAGATTTATTATTGGTCTCTCAAAAAGTGTTGTGGTTGAAGTTGATGGCAGTTCAGCTTTTCCAGTCTTTAAAAGAGACGGTGCAGTTGCCTTTTCTTTCAGAGCAATTCATTCCTGTAGTCTTCTGTATCCCACACATACAGAAACCTGAGAGAAGGAAATCCCTGGCTTACTGTGTCTGGTGTTAAAGGAGAGAAGGGATCCTGTAAATGGCTGAGGAAGACAGAAAAGTGTTCCCTTTGCATCATGAGAAATTTCATCACATACAAAGTACACTCCTTGTCACTCAAATTTGAATAGCACAGTGCACATAGCAAAGGCAGACACCTTTGATCTGTGTCTGTAGTAAGCTGTATGTGCCATTCTAACCAAGATGACGTGTACTTTAAGTCTGTTGCAGTGCTATCTATTTGTTCTCCAGCTGTCAAATTCCGTGTGTTGTGTCCGCTGGAGGCAACCCTGCCACTTGAGGATTTAGTCTCTGGTATAGAGATCTAGACAGATGTATTTCCCAGCTTTATATAGGAGGGTTTGGCAGTGATGGAGATTCACAGTGCCACTGCTGTTTAGTGTGACAAAACTTGGCCTCATGTAAAAAGTCTGGCAAAATGACCTCCATTGGCTTGTTAACTGGGTAGAAATCTAGGTGTGCTTAAACATGTTTTCTGTGAGATTTAGATTTTTAGTCATTTTACTATAGCAAATTAATTATGTTTTTTCACACCTTGAAAATCTTCTCTCAGTAGGCGTTCATCCTGCCCACCAAAAGATTTCAGCCAGCCCGATCTTTGTAGCAGGAAGCTGTCAAGAAGGTATCTGGAAGGCTGATGTCTGCATTCTAGAAATTTTTATTTTTTTTTTTTTTTAAATTGACAGTGCTGTGATTAGAAAGCTGTGAGCATCGCCTACAGGCATCACTCCACTTTAGAACGTCAGTATTCCTAATCCAATCTTACTTAGCTACTACTTTTTTGGGAAGGAACTGGAACTTTACTGGGAGAGGCATTTCTATTTCTTGGACTATATGTAGAATCTGAAAGGTGGCAAGAGTATGGAGTGAGGCATCACAAAGCAATCTTGTATTCAAGTATGTTTTACCAGTTTGTCCACTTAAATGTGTGTTGACAGGTGCTGCATACTATGGGCTGGTACCCGTTTTAAATGCTCCTGTGGGTCATGGGAGTTCATGGAATGAAATGTGCAAGGGAGGTTCTTCAGAGCTGCACATAGACCGGGTGATTTTTCTGCTTTTAATCCAAGGTTTTCAAAGCAGAAAAAAAAATGTAGGTACTTGAAGACTCTTCTTAAGATTCCTCCTTACTACAGACCTATTGAAAACCGAATCTGTTGATTGTTTCCATCTCTTGCAATTTAAACAATTACCAATCATTTATGAAGAATCTGGTCAATAATGTTGTCATTTTGCTTTGCTTGGTATTTGAACTTCAGAAAGGTGTTTATTCCATCTTTTTCTGTGGTGTGGAGCTTAGGAAAGGATCAAGTACTACTGCTCAGTCACAAGAAGTTTAAGACGACTTTAATAAACTGCGAAGTTAGTTTGTTACCATTTTCCTTGAAGTCCAGTTTTGTATTAAGCAAGAGTTACTTCACATGTGATGTTGAGGCATTGATAGCAAACTGATACTGCCTGGAAAGATTCCATTTGCTAGGCACTTAGGTGCTGAAAAGATCAAACCATCAGTACTGTGCTCTACTTCTTCTCACATGGGTTTAATTGTGAAGTATCTGCTATATATAAGTCCGAAAAGAAATGTGGATTGAAACAAAGATGTGATGATTCTAATCAGCTTTCATAGTTCAAGATGCTTAATTTAATGTGCCTGATACAATTATATTTTGTGTTGGGAACTTTGAAAAAGTATGAGAATTTCCCACATGTACATTTTCTTTTGAATGATTTAGTAAAGTCAAGACAATTACTTCATTTGGCCTGTGGACAACATTTGATTTCAACACCTTGCTGAGGGAAGAACTTGTGTATTTATATTTGCCTAAAGATGTGGCCTCTGGATGGATTCTGATCATTCTTTCTACTAGTAAATTGCACAAATAGGTGTGATATTTATAACTGAAATTTTGATGAATGCCTGTAATATTTCATGGAAATATTTTATGAATCAAATGGAAATGCACCTGCAAAGCCTCATGATGCAGATTATCCATCAGTTGATCAAGTGAGCTTATAGACAGGTAGTTCTGTAACCCAAAATGGCATGTCTTCATTTATGACTGAGTATTTCAGAATGTTTCCTCTTTTATAGAAGAAATTACTGTTATGCAGCAAACAGTTGGAGAGGTTCTTAAGCACCCAATAGCCTGGTTTTAGAATAAAGAGAATATACTGAGTTGGAAAGGATCCATCAAGGTCATCAAGTCCAACTCCTGGCCCTGCACAGAACTCCCTAGCAGTGTGCCAGACACCTTCTTGAACTCAGGCAGGCTTGGTAGTGTGACTGCTTCCTGGGGAGCCTGTTCCAGTGTTCAGCCACCCTCTGGGTGAAAAACCTTTTCCTGACACCTAACCTTAAACCACCTGTGACATAGCTTCATGCCATTTTCTCAAGTCCTGTCTCTGGTCAAGAGAGAAATGTCTGTCAGCTGGGCCATGTATGTAGATGATTGCCATTTGACAAAGCTTCCTCTGGCCATGTACTAACTGACTTGATGTGGTGAATGTTCGAAATGGTAGCAGAACTGAAAATTACTGTATCTGACAAAAGACAAAAAACAGGCATCAGGAACCATAATCAGTTTTGATAGTTGTATGCTGTTTTCAGGTTGGTGGCAGTCAGTTACATGTGTACTATGCTCTACCTGGTTTGTAGCTGTAACTGTGATGTAAAGAAAAAAGAAAAACCCACCCCAAACAAACAAAACCCCTGACCCCCCCCTCAACAAACCACAAAACAATCTCCCTTCCTCCAAGAACTCATGAAAACAGAAGCAAATAATGCAATGATATAAGATACACACTTTTGTATTTTTATTCTTCTAAGGTTATTTGCTGGCTCTTGTTGGCCTCTATTTCAGTCTGTGTTATTTAAATTCTAATATATGAATTATTGGGATTGAATTCATGTTCGGGGCCATGGTGTTGTATGTATTGATGTACAGCCTTGAATGTGAATAATTATTGTAAACTATATTTTACACCTTTTTTCTGGCTTTATTATATAAATTTTCTATTGGTCCATGATTTAATCATATCTCATAATTTAATGTTTGTTCTCTTCTCGACAGATCTCTGTGCTGTAGATGTGTAGTTAGTGACTGGATGACGGATTTCACTTATGCTTGGTAGTCTGTAATAAAGGCATGTAGGGTTTGCGCGGCCTCCGCCTCTTCCTTCCGCGGTGGGGCGGGCGGCGTGGGGCACAGGAGCCGGGCCCGCGGGCTCCGGGCGGGCGGCGGCGGCCCCGTGGCCCACGGCAGCGCTGCTGAGCGGGGCCCGGGCCGGGGCCGCTCGGGCGCCAAGGGGCGGGCAGGGCGCTGTTCCAGGCGCCGCTTCCGGTGGGCGGGGCGCCGGGAGCCCGGCAGCCGGGGCGGCCCCTTCCGGCCCTGGCGAGGATGGCGGCGGAGAACCGCTGTGAGTTCCCGGTGCCTCCGGCTGGCGGCCTCGGCGCGGGCGGGCCCTGCCGTCGGTGTAGCTCGGCGCCGCTGCCCGGCGCGGGGCCCGGCAAGTGGGTCCGGCTGAACGTGGGGGGCACCTGCTTCCTGACCACTCGACAGACGCTCTGCAGGGACCCTAAGTCCTTCCTCTTCCGCCTCTGCCAGGCCGACCCCGACCTGGACTCGGACAAGGTGAGCGCGGGCCCTGCCGCGCCCGCTCCCCGCTTCGGGCCCGCTCCCCCTGCCAACGCGCCCGCTCCCTGCTCCGGGCCCGCTTCCCGCCTGCCGCGCTGAGGGTGCGCTGCGGCCGCTGCCCGCTCCCGCTGTGCCGCCTGCCCGGGCGGCCGGCGGCGTAAAGGGAACGCGGGGCCCGGCGCCGCGGGGAGGGGCGGTAGGAACGACTCTGCTGCCGCGGAGGGAGTCTTTCTGAAGAGTGCTGCTTAATGAATGATGTCGTGCGAAGCAGCTGGGTTCGTGAATAACAAAAGTGCTCATAAATACAACGAGAGAGCACAGTATCGTTTGTACGTTTATGTAATTTTTTTATGTTGTGTGATGGGATGTAGTTTTAGCGTTTTAATGGAATATCTGCGTGCACTGACACTGTGTTATTTCTGCACTGTCATTATTCTCTTGTTCAATTACAAAAACCAGAGCAAAGTAGTTTTGATAATAATCTCTCACTTAGACGTAGCATTCTGTCTTTTCAGCAATTCTTGGAGAAAAATATTGCACATTCTGCAGAGATTGCAAGTAATGGGTGAATATTTTTGTATTCACTCTGACTCATTTTTAGTAAAATTCAGGATTTTATTTGTGGTGTGGTATGTAGTAATGGATATAAAGCGTATAGTGCTGGCTCTGAAAGAGATTTTGGAGCATCACAGACAAGAAAAGTTTTCCAGTGTAGTTATGGAAAAGAACGGAACAGCTTATAGTCCTATAAACAACAGGTTGAAAATAAGGAGTTGCTTATATATAAATTCTGGAAATTTTTTTTCGGTGAGGTTAGTAGATTTCATCATTTTTTCAGGCATAACTTCCAGAAAGGATATTTGAACACTTAAGATAGGGAACAGAACATAATGTTCCTGGGTTAGAAGAAAAAAAAGTTGAAGTGTGATGGTGTGGAAATTGTTTTGTTGTTGTCTTTGGTTTTGGTTGAGGTTTTTATGGAGAGCTTAAACTAACCTATAAAAGTAAATTTAAAAATGTAGGTGGCATATTGATAGGTCAAGTGTCTTTGTTTGGGAGAGAGTAGGAAAGCATTCCTCTAAGGTTTCTTAATTAAAAGGTAAAGAGCTGCCCTATGCTCTGGCAGATGGGAGGACCAACTGTGGCCTGAGGTGCATCAGGCCCAGCATTATCAGCTGGGCAAGGGAGGGGATTGTCCCCTTCTGCTCTGTTTTGGCGTGTGGCCTCACTTTGAGTCCTGTAGCCAGTTTTGGGCACGACAATATCAGAAGGATCTAAGGCTCTTAGAGAGCATCTGAAGGAGGAACACAAAGTTTCTGAAGGGGAAGCCATATGAGAAATAGCTGAGGTCGCTTGCCTTCTTCAGCTGGAGGAGACCAAGGGGAGGCTCATCGCTGTCTGCATCTTCCTTCTGAGGGGCAGTATTGATCTCTGTTCTGTGTGACCAGCGACAGGATCCAAGGGAACAGCATGGAGCTGTGTCAGGGGAGGTTTATGTTGGATATAAGGAGCAGGTTGTTTCCGCAGAGGTTGGTTGAACACTGTAATCGGCTCCCCAGGGAATGGCCGTGGCCCTGTGAGCTTGAGGGAGCTCAGGCACATGGTGGGATTGTTGGGGCTGTGCTGTGCAGGGCCAGGAGCTGGACTTGATCTTTGTGGGTCTCTCCCAACTCTGGATATTCTGTGATTTCCTTAGTGCTTGCTGCTGTAAAGAACTGAGAGGCTCCAAGAAAGGTACCATATTGGCCTTTAAACCGCCTTCAGGTACTCATGTTGAATAGGACAGGGCAGCCTGTCTCTTGCTATCAGGATGAAAGATTAGCCTTCGGCACACCCTGTGGCCAAACTAGTGTTGAATGGAGTAAGACAGTGGCATTGGCTCTGAATTTAATGTGTTTCACAATGTCACAACTTAGTATTTAAAACTGTTTGAGTATCATTTCAGCACATAAATGAGCAGTATTTACTGTTCAGAATAGTCATATTTACTGTTCAGAATAGGATTTGTTTTCCATAGTATTTAAATCTTGGTTTAGAGATGAATACATAAAAATAGAGCAGAGCCTTGCTCACCTTTTCCTCATTGTTTAATTTAATGTTTTATACTGCATTACAGTTAATAATTTACATATGTTTCCCTGTTGCAGCATCTTCCTATTTTAGCTATATACCATTTTTTTCTTTTTCAAACTGTTTCAGCATTCTTTTAATTTTCCCCTAAGAAGGAGATTGTCAAATTTACTTAATAAGGTTTTGGCAATAGTATTCATGTTTGATTTTTAATGTGTTTCTGACGTTGGTGTAGAATCAGTCAAAGAAGGAAGCAGGCAAGCACTAAGTGTTTAAGAAAAATCAAAGTCTTCTTGGTAGCGCAGCCTTGACTGTCAGCATTAATAAATATCTAAATTGTAGTCATTATTCTAAGAAGTAACAGATACACGTCATTTGTCCATGAGATTTCTGACTTGTCAGGTGGGGTGTGTTACTGATGTACTTCCGATATGTACTGCTAGTCTGCAGACACTCAAAGTTTTTAGGCCACACAGTTTGTGAAAAATTCACTAGTTCAATATTTTAAAAGTATGGATGATAAGGGAGACAGTTATTCATAAATCCAGATTTAGTACCAAATATTACTGTATTTCTCTGCATGTTGCTGCCTTTATCAGAGCTCAGAATATGTAAACAATGTCATTTTTAAAAATATTCGGATTAGAGCATACAGCCTTGAGCCAAGAGCTTGGTGGTATGACTTGAGTGTATCCAGATCCAGTATTGATCCCAATGAAGATAATTAATTGGAAATAAATTTATGATATTTCAGCTAGTGTTTTAGTGCCGTTCTTGGGGAGATTGTGAAATGGGATTAGGGAGGTGTATGTATTTGGTCCACCTTTTGAGGCCTGCTGGAATCCCGTACTGGATTATAGCATCCACAATTCAAGGTCACAGCAGGGCAGTGACTAGTCACAAGGTGAAATGTGATTTGGTGAAAAGTTATATAGAACAAAGCCTTCTTTTGGCAAGAAGTTTAAGGAGTGACTTCTCAGTCCAGAAGTTCGTACATGATGGAGACAAGAAATCTAATAGTGAAGCCTGTTCAGTCTAGCAAAGGTGTTGTGAAATCCAGCTAGCAGTGTCAAACTATAGACGTCCTTGCTAGAAAGTACATAATATTAGCAGTGACAATACTTATTTATTGGAATGGTTAGGTTACACTGCTAGTTTCTAAAGGGTAAATTTCACTGTAAATAAATTGAGTTCTTTGTGTGTTTTAAACTAAGATCAGGGTAAGTGTTCATTATGATTCCTGTGAGCCTCAGTCTCTGTAAAGCTGGAAGTGAAAACATTTGCAACTGGAATACATGATCATTTCATTGCTTTGCTCAGTATTTTTCAAAGGAATGTAATTGTGAGCTACAATCACACTGAACCAGGTGATTGAAAATTTAAGAGCAAGTTACTAGATTTCCTCTAAAATTCCATGGTGTTTGTAACTTGAATTAAACATTAGTGTGGGAGAGGTAATAAACAAATGCAGTCTTCAGTGTACCTGGGCAATGCTGTCTTCTAAATAGTGTCTTTGTAAACATGCATGAAAAAGGCCTAGAACTTACAAACATTGAAGAAGAAGCTCTTGAGAGAAGAATGTAATGCAAAAGTCGAACTGGGTAAAGGTACAAACAGTCATGTGAATCTCTAGCAGTTTAGGGTTGGATGCACAAAGACAACGTGTGCATTTGTTTTGAGTCTTATGAAGAATGTCAACATTTGCAGGAAATGCCTGTAAGTGTGGGGTGATGTGATTATGCTGAATAGAGAGGAAACTTGAATTTCTGCTGCTGTTCTGGTAAACATGAATGCCTGTTTGTAAAAAATACATCTAAAAGAGAGTGAACTTTGAAACCTTATTAGACTATAGGTTTGTCTGACATTTGTGGTATTCACAAATATCACAATTTGGGAAATGGCTTCAAAATACCTATACTAGTTGTGCCAGTGAAGATTCAAACTTGCTCAAAGCTTGTAGAAAAAAAATTTACTAGTTAGCAGAGGAAATTACATAGCTGGGACATCAGAGTCTATTAATACTTAAGCTAGCAAGCCTAAAGCAAGTTATGCACGTGCAAACTAACTACCTCTTTAAATTGCCCAGATCACATTGGATCATGTTTGCAATTTATTATTTTATTTTACAGCAAAACTGTTTATATTAAAAGTGTCAATTACTATGCTAAAATGCTAATTACATGTAATAATATAGTGTGTTTTCATATACACGTGGATAAAAACACTGATAATATTCTGAAAGACTTACAACCTCTGTTTTTAGAGTTCTAGGTAGAGCAGATGGCTGCACTTCTGTGTCAGCTTGTACTGGATTTATGTTTACATAAATATTCTTAAAGATCTAGTGTAATCGGCTTTTCTTAGTGATTTCATGATGAAGTGCTTAGCATACATTGGAGGATATTCAGGCAGCTCATTCCAAAGGAGGAGTGATAAGGCATTTTCTATAGGAAGATGCTGAGGAAGTAAAATTTTTGCCTCACTCGCTTGTGCATTATTTGCATATGGTTACAGTATTCTTTACTGATTGGTTCATCTTTCGGCTCTTGACTCCTGGTGCTAGTGTGTAGCATCTCTGAGATGTCAGGTCAATGTTCAAGGCACACATCCTCCTCTCAGTGTTAATTAATGCAGGTTTTCTATGTCTATAATCTGGGTAAGTATCTTTTGCATGGAATTTAGATGCTCATGTGAAACCTGTTGACAGAATTTGGATTGCATGCTGTTAGAATTTAGCCAGAGTTCTTTAACTGTTGAGATTTACTAATGTAAAGAAAGAAACATCTATTACAGCAAAAATTACAGGACTTTCATGTGCCTTCTTTTTTATTATTTTTCAAGACACCTTGTTGTCTGAAGGGCTTTGTAGAGTAAGCTGTAACACTACTGAGATGGTATTTTTTTCATGTATGACCTCTCATAAGGTGGAAGTTGAAAGAGAAGGCCTGACATAGCTTCTCCCCTTTGTGGTTTTGTTGGAAGCTTGTTTAGTATATAGGAATCAACTCAGAAAAAGGCAATTTCAGATAATGTAGGCCTTTAAAAAAAAGTTCAGGCCTTTTGTGCAAGGAGTGAAGTAGCTATTGTTACTTAAGATTTCATTTAGAGCTTATAACCACTTTGCTTCTGTGACCCACCTCTCTGTCTCTGTAGTGGTGGAGAGCTGCTGACCGGTATTGCTTCAGAAGGTGATGTAAGAGAAACACTGTAGTGTAAAAAACTACAGTCATCTTAATGAAGAAGATTATTTCTATAGATTTGTTTTTCTTAGCTGGGAAAACATCTTTGTAAGCTCTCTGTTCTTTAATGCAGTTCAGATGATGACCAAGTACAGGGTTTTTTTTCTTTAAAACAGCATTTCTTTTTATCTGTTTTGGATCTTTCTTTCCAACCTCACTGGTTTCTTTTCCTTTACTAAATAATACTTTTCAGCTTATAATTCATACAGTTGTCAGCTATTTTAATTTCTCTGGGTTGTATCTTTAGTTTGTACATTCATGAAGTGTTTTGGTAATGTAAATATACTTATAGATGAAATATTAAAACTATACTTTTTCATCTGTTTTTTTGCATGCATAGTCTCGCTTTTGTGAGACCATGATCTTAGATCAGAAGAAATTGTGATTAGACTTCATCAAGATTGTCTGGTGTGAGTGTAGGTTAACTGACAGCACATGTTAATATGTTAGCATTGTCTTGAACAGTTAATTTTATACAAAATTAGACACTCCTTCACGTCTTCTGAAATGACACTATGTCTAGGTGTGTAAAACATTTAATTGTGATTATAGAAAGGGTTTATGGTTTTGTAGTTCAGGCTTTGGTCTTTCTACATTCTACCAATCCTGGTTAGACAAGTGTAGTCATTCAGAATCTGTGTACCTGAAAATATGTCCACCATGTATTTTTTCCAATGAAACGTTCTAGGAACTCTACGTACTGTAGAGAGAGTTTTCAGGCATCACAGTTCAATAATCAAGTCTTTCCATATAAGCATTAATGTTCAAATGCAGAGGATTGAGTCAGTAGAATTTCTTTCATATGGAAGAGCAATCATTGCTAGTACCTATGGTTTTGAGGGAGTATGATCCACATTTAGCTAGGATTATTGGTAATGATGTTTTTTTGAGTATCTCCTGTAAACTCCTAGAATATTAAAGGCAAGGATAAATAAAAAGGTGTTTGGGAGTGCTGCCACATCTCTCCAGTATTTATCTGTAGGATATCTATTGCAGCAAAACCTTAGGTACTAACAGATTAATGTGGTTAGTAATCCACTTGATAGTAGAAAGGAGCAGTGGATCACTTGGAAGTCTTCCTATGAATCTTCCTTAGACCTCCAGCTAGCTCAAAGTACTGTCTTGTACTGTCTTGATTGGAGGGGTTCACACATAGATTCTAAATAACATAGAAAATATCAATTTTGCTTCTTTATCTCTTTGTTAAGAATATCAGCTCTGCAGGTGAATTTCTTGCTTTGCAATACACAAAACGCAGTAGTCTTTTCAGTAAACTGAGCATTAGTTCGAACTATTCATCTGTTACTTCACTTGTCTGCATAAGATAGGTAGGAATTGCATCTTCAGCGTATGGCTTTTTTTTAGAAGATGCATGTACAACCCTTACTTCATACACAGCAGTTCTCAGTACCCTGTAAACATTTGTACATCTGAGCTAAGACAAAAGCAGATGTTTTTACAGCAAAGTGTTGAGGGTCAAAAGAACTTGGTTTGTTTGCCTTTAATTAAAAAAAAAAAAAAAACTGAAAAAGAAAACTGGTATTTGAAGCTTGCTAGAATGTAGCCTTTGTTCTGACTCTTCAGGCTCCCAATCAAAATTTCCTGGTTTTAAGTGCTATTTTTAAAGTTAACTTTCAGTGTTCTCACTGCTGAGATCTTTCATGCTGACAATATTGTTAATTATTGATAAGGGGTTGGGGGGATTAATCAGATAAGAGAAGCAGTGTATTGGATTATTTGATTGACCAGTCTGATACCATAACAGTTATATTGTTTAATTGCTTTTATTGTCTTTAATAAATCCGCCTTTCAGGGATGTGGCTACATCTGAATACCTGCTCGCTGCAGGAAGAATAATAGCTTGCAGTTGCCACTTGCATGTTCAAATCATTGTGGGGTTTTTGGTTTGTTTGGTTTGGGCTTTGGTGTTCTCTTGCTTTGTTTTGTGTTGTTTGTTTGGTTTGTGTTTGTTTTTCTAATCTAGGATGAAACAGGTGCCTATTTAATAGACAGAGACCCAACCTACTTTGGGCCAGTGCTGAACTATCTCAGACATGGAAAACTGGTTATTAACAAGGACCTAGCTGAGGAAGGTAAGACGTTTCTAAATATCTTGTTTGCTTGCCACTTGCTTTATTATTTTCACTTCTTTTGAGTCCCCGAAACTAACTTGGAACAAGATGGCAAACCTTAACCAGTGTAGCATTTCTATCTGTTTCAAGCAAAACTGACAGGTATCATGCAGTTGTAGCATATGGAGTTATTTGAACATTTTGAGTATGGTTCCTGATTTCACAACCCCCGTTCTGAGTTGGAACATAAGTGTTCAAACAAGAGAGGGGATGCCTTTTATTGCATAATCTTGTATCTTTCCTATGTTGACTGTGAAATATTTGGGTTTAGTCCTCTTTAAGCAAAAGAATGCTGCCCAAGAAACAAGCTTTAGAAGATGTGAAGCAAAGTAAAAGTGAAGTTCTGACGTGTTCAGATGTCTGGAATATGCTTTTAAAGACTGAATTCTGCCCCCAGCTTCTTCCTCCTTGTTCCTTGTTAGGGTTAGGGTTTTAAAACATATAGTAATAAAGCTGTATTGATAGCATATTGAAGGAATTTATCAAAGAGAAATACAATTTAACAGCACTAGGAGGAAATAGTATGAAATAAAATTTCCCCGTGTATTGTTAAGCATAATGTGTGTGGAGAGCAGGTAGGCCTTGAACATGTGAGTAGAAGCATTATGTATCTTTAAGCTTTTGTTTCAGACTCTAAGATCTCAAATGACAAGAAGAAAAATCTTCTTCTTGCTAGCAACTGCAGAGATTTGCAGTAAGATTATTTAAATTTTTCTTTTGCATTCCAGCCTGAGACAGGGCCTGAGGTATGATGGTCTTATCAGTCCGCTATGGAATGGTTTCTGTGCACATTTTTTTTTGTTTCTTGCCTCATTTTGTATGTGAAATGGCATCAGTTTTCTTTGGGATATTTTTAGGACAATTTTTTAGAATGAGCCAAACATTGAATTACAGGTATCTGAAAGAAGCCAGAATGGTTAGGTTGATGAACTATCTTATCATAGAGAAAAATAAATAATTTTCTGTAGCTGTTGAGAGGATAATCTTATGAACTGGTCAGTGATTTTGGCCTGGAATCTTTAGTTACACTGTCTTTCCAAATAATGTTTTCATACTAGGTGTACTGGAAGAGGCTGAATTCTACAATATCACATCTCTAATAAAACTGGTAAAGGACAAAATAAGAGAGAGAGACAGCAAAATCTCACAGGTGAGGCTGTTTTCTCATATGCTTTTGATTATTTGTTCTATGACAAGTAGTGAGTGGGTTCCATTTGTTTTTTTATGTAATTTCTGATTTCCCCAGTAAGATACTGAATGGCTGTCCCATCACTAGATGATCTGGAACCACTAGTATACAAAGATTAATATTCTTAATTGCTGGCTCCTGCCAGTCTGTTCACAAAGTTCACAGATCTCCTTCAAAAACTGAAAACATTCTAAGTAATGGTTCCAAAATGTTTGGTAATAGTAGAATTTGTCATAATATCATTTCTGGCAGTAGTTATGTTAGAGAACAGCTTTTGTAGAACATAGCTTTCTCATTGACTTTTAAATGCTCTGAATATGATGAGGTTGCTAGCTATGGTATAACTCCTGTTTATACAGTGTGTGTTTTATGCAGCATACGTACAGATGCTGCTTAGCTCCTGTCATGTATTTTTGTAGCTCTGTGAGAAAGTTGTCTCTTCTCATAGTAGCTCATATTCTCCATGAAAGCGAATATGATAACGTTTGTTCTTTAACTCTGCTACTCAGGCTTCCCTGGTAACTGAGTCTTCATGGAGATACTACAAACTTATATTGTTATTGTCAAATTTTTCTTTAAGCTAGGTTGTTGGCTCGCAGGATTGCTCTGATAGCATTTACTGTAGGTCTCAGCTAAAGTGGTTCGAATTATTGATTACTCTGGATGGGTTCAAAGTGGCATTGCTTACCATTTCTGGAGGGTAAGGGCAACTTCAGACGAGTCACAAACATAGTGAATTCCATGCCCTATTGAGCATCTTCTGTTTCTTCTTGAAGGTGCCAATCAAACATGTGTACAGAGTGCTGCAGTGTCAGGAAGAGGAACTCACTCAAATGGTTTCCACAATGTCCGATGGCTGGAAATTTGAACAGGTAAAAAATCCATATGGGATATAGTTAACATAGTCTTCTAAGAAATTAATATTAAGTGCCTTTTGTGAAAGAGGAATATAAATGAAATCAAATTCCATGCATCTTTTTTATTCAATAATTTGCAGAATTTGGATAAGCATACACAGCTAAGTTAAAATGTGATATTTGTGTTTGCATTTATCATAAAACAAAACAACCAAAAAAAAGGAGCCTTCCAGGAGGTAAATTTTGCTGACTTCTATGAAAACATCTGCTACATGTCTGAAATGTAATTCTTCAGTGTCTACACATGAGCAGTTGAAGGGTGAATCAACCAGAATTAACTAAGACAAGTTTATATGAATGGCAGGTTAGATATGAAGAGCTCTGGGTGAAAGAGATGAACTTGGGAGATAAATGTTTGCCAGGCTCAAAGAGTGGTTCTTCAAATAAAAAAACTGATACACAAAGGAGAGTGAACTTTACCTGTGTGGATGTGAAGCTTGATAGCTGTGAGCTACGTGAATGTTTTTGTTCTTTGCAGTGCATAAAAGTAGCTTTGCGTGTACATTCAAGAACACACTGTAAAATCCCAAGGTCTATCTGTTATCTTTGATAATCTCTGTAAGTAAGAAATTAACTGTACAGCTCCATCATCCTTCACATTCCTAATCCAGCAGAGTATTTAAGTTGCATTGGAGCAATGAATCTGTTAACTCTGAAACACAAGTGTTCATCTCCTAGCACCTTTTTCAGTGTCTGATGCTCGCAATAGGAGAAATTGAAATAAGCACAAGCCCATTATCCTGTGCAGTCTCACTCTAACACCACAACAAAGCAACATTTAAAAAATATTTATGACACAAAGGTAAAAGAGAACATTTTGTTTATATTTGATAAAATGTGTGAGGTGCTAGAGACATGGAGACAGCCATGAGCAGATAGACTAAATGGGCAGGGAGCAAGCTTTTTATGGTTCAGTACTCTGCTTCAAGTATTACCAGGTCTGTTTGCCATGCCACAAGCTAAATGTTGCTTAAGTCCCTGAAAAACTCTCACTTAATATACACACGACTGTTTTTTGGCCAATGCATGGAAAAATGTTTTTCAACATTCTTCTTTTGTCAGGAGAAACTAGCTTTCATTATAAATAGACCTCCTTTACTTTTTAGCAGATTAAATGACACCATATCTTTTATCTATCCTAAACCCTTCAGGGACATTGTATTTGGCAGTAATACTGCTTTGACAGTGCAAATGCTGAAAGACCTATTATAATATCTTTTAGAACTGGAAGAACCCAGTGGTTTTCTTGTTTCATCCAGCTGTCTCCCTACTTTCCCCTTCTCCCATGTTGCACGTTTTTAGACACATAGTTTGAAGTAGATAAACACACAGCTGTATGATCTCATAATACTTAATATCTCATTAGCTCACACTAGGCCATTCCCTCCATTGTAATGCAGACCTGCTTGGAGCAGACGTCATTCACTTGAAGCAGGATTAGAATCTTGTACATAAACAGTTTTATTGTTAATACCTTCAAACACTGTAGCATTTCTGTAATCTTTTCTAAGCCCATGTTGCTCAGCAGCATGCCTTCTTTCAGAAGCAGTCTTTGGGGTGATACCCACCATGCTCTGTATGTGAAAAAAGATGGAATCATCAGCTTTTTCATAGGAGTGATTTTCTTACAGACTGAGAATCCTTGTGCTCTGAGCCATAAAAAATGTTCAAGTGGTTGGTTTTGAAAAAAATTTTTTTATGCTTTGTATTTCAAAATTTTATTGTTAAATATGATTGTATATAGTTACTAAATAGGAGTGGAAGGTGCTGAACTGTTGGTGCACTTATGCAGTTGTATTGATGCCCTTTTCCAAAGAAGACATTGGAAAGCTCTGCTAGAACAGAGTATGTATTAGTCCCAGTCCAAAATCTTTTACTAAAAATGATGCTGTCCCACTTTTGTGGGTTGTTTTGTAGAGGATTGTTAGCTTCAATTGTTGCCTCTTCAGGCAATTGGAAAAAACCAGTATTTTGGCAATGCAACAGAATAAAAAACTGTGGCCTATACAAAGTGGCTAGATAGAAAGGCTTTAGACAGCAGCAGTGTTGGCCATGTAAATGTTAATGATTAATGTAACCTGAGTCTGACACCATAATGCAGCTGTAAGTATGTTCACTGTATGAGGAGGATGGTATTTAACTGCTGCCTTCAAAATTATTCACATGCAATAGCAGAATATATATAAAGTTGCTATTCATGGGCCTTCTCATCTGTCATAATCTCCAGTTTACTCAGAATAGGCAATTGTTGTCTAACTCTTCACACTTAATTTAAAGTTCTAATCTCTCTAAAGTGCACTGGCAGGCTATGCTTTAATTTAAATGGGCTAGGAATTGCCATGTGTTATTAAGGTTAAACATGTTTTGTAGTAAAAAGTTGCGAAATTCAGTTGAGGTTGAACTTTAAATTATTAGCCAGTGTTCTTGGTAGTGATTATTGTGGGAACAAAACAATTTTTTACACTGCAGTTATTTTCTTGGATCTTCTTTAAATTACTCCTTCTAAAACTAGTCTAGACCACTCAATGTTTTTTCCTCTTGTTGACTTATTATGTTTTCCTAGCTGTATTTTATCAGTATTTGGAGCAAGATGAAGCTCTTTAATACCCAGGCTTTATATATTGCTTTACATAACACCTTCCAGTCTTATATCCATGTTACCTTCTCCACTTGTCAATGTGTGACAGGAAAATAATGCTTACTTTTATAATGCTCCAAACTTTGTTTTTCAGAGTAGTTGGCTACAATACAGATATATGGGGAGTTTTCTGTCTTCTTATCAGTAACTCTTAACTTCCATTCAAATTAAAAAGGGCTTTGCAACTGCCTCAGTAAATTTTATGTTGAAATAAAAGTTGTAGCTTGATAGCAACCTGTTACAGTGGCAAGTAAGTTACCTGAACGTTTGAGCTCATCTGTTACTTGTACAATTTGGATAATGGTATGTGCTTCAGCTTTACAAAGGTTTCTTTTTGTGTTTTACTTTGATTGGTTATTTCAGCTTGTCAGTATAAGTTCCCAGTACAGCTGTGGCCGGGATCAGCAGTCAGAATTTCTGCTGATAGTGTCACGGGAAGTGAAAGGGGAAGAGAGATGCTTCCAGAAATGCTTCAGTGAGGTGTGTCACACCATTCTTTTTGCCCTCACACTGATATGCTTGGCCTCCTTGCGTTTCTGCTGCTTTCAGATCATTCCACTTCTTTTCTGGATGTACAGCACATAGTATTTTGTGTGTATTTGTGACTGGCTTTTATTTATATTCACGGTATTTCATTACACATTATGAATGTCCACATTGTAAAAACAATAGAAAAACAACCAAACAAAAATCCCTTGGTTATTTAGTTCAAGGTTTTTCTTAGGAAGAGTTCTTACCTCCTCAACAGATAACTTATTTTCCTTAAATTTTCCTCTAAAATTAACAGCCTTTGATCCATACTTGTTAACTAAGAGGTACAATTCAAACCTAAGGAGCCCTAAAAATACAGCTTTGAGTTCAATGGCTCCAGAAGGGGACATTTCTGATAGACTGGGAAAACGATTACTTCATCCACCAAAGTTAAGTTCCAAGTTTGAGCCCTTTATTTCTGGTAACTCAGAATTTAACTCTTTTTTAGGTGGATGAGATATGTTCAAACTGGAATAATGAATAGCAGGAGTTTTTTCTAAGTAAAATATGAGGAGTTAGGAGAGAACAAAATGGACAGTTTTAAGTTTTGTCTCAAGTTGAAAAAATATCCTGGGTATTTCCTTGGCTTTATTGTTTTGTTGTTGTGGGGTTTTTTTCTGTCTTGGGAAATTTTCTTGAAATCCAAATGGACAATCCTAGCATCATTCTTCTCTTTCTTTTTGTCTTTTATTTTTTTCCTCTTCATCCTCCCTTTTCCCCTTGTTCTGCTTTTCCGATTGCTGCGTTACTTCCAAATATTTGTGAGTTTGGGAAAGTTTTTTTGCTCTCGGTAACATTGGAGGCAGTTTCTGGTTCTTTAAATATCTGTGCTGCATTTCGAAGTGTTGTATGTGAATTGGTTTGGGAACCTGGTGCTCTGTAATTTTTTTCATCGACAAAATGCCTGGAGTACTTGTTCTTTTTCCTGCAACATGTATGGTTATTTAGTCTGAAAGATGAGTATAACATTATGAAGATAACATGATAGTGAAATGGCTTAACAAAAACAAAGCTTTGCCTATGACTTTATACGGGCACTTCATCATGCAGTTTGAGATTTGAAACTTGGACTATTACTCAGCTTAATTCCAGAATCTTCAATGCACCAAGCACTGTCTGTTTCTTGCAGTTGTATAGGTAACATTTGGAACGTGAAATGTGAGGTTTTCAGACTTCTGGCAACAGAGAAAGAATTGTGGTTTGTTAGGGACGTGTAGGGTACAGGAAGAATGACATCATTCACACATTCATGTCCTGGATAGCTCAAAGTAAAAGTCACCATTGTAAAATGGAAGGTGGGAGGGCAATGAAGAAATTAATGCAGGTATAAAATAAAATAAAAATTATAATTAAAAAAATGAAACTTTGAAGTCTGACTATTGCATTAAGAGACCTGAAATAAATATCCTTTCAGGCCTGCTATCAGTCATCAGTGCTGAGTTTTAAGAGCTGATGTGTGTCTATCTTCATAACCATTTGCAGATCCTTTGGGGAGGCAGAAAAAATTCATTATATGTCTAAAAGGCGTGGAGTCCATTCTTAGATTCATACAACTTGATTCTGTAAAAAAAAAAAAGAGTGAAGGATTTTCTTTAATTCTACTAGCTGATAATATAATTAACAATTTTTTAAAAGGACAGTTTTTTCAAGCTTTCTAATGTACAAGGAGTTCATCTGAAATAGAAGTGCTAATATTCAAAGTACAAGAATATTTAAAAGAGAATTTGAGAATAATTGGTACAGAATTTACTTAGTTTTGAAAATCAAACCATCATAAAATAGAGAAGGAATTAAGTAGTGGTGAAGTAGAAAAGTTAGTTAATATGAGTAACTCCAGTGGTAAGCAGAGGAGAAGAAGAAGAAGCAGAAGTAGAAGAAAAGAAGAAGAAAAAGAAGAAGAAGACTGGGCTGCAGTTTATGAAAGCTGGAGTGATTATCTGAGATAGCAATACTATTGCTGATTTGTCTGGTAAATATGCTACATAGATTTTGAATCAGTATTTAACCAATATAGCAAATCTGTACCAGCATGTTACTGAAATATGTCTGGTTTTGAGATCTGTCTCAGTTCAGCTAGGCATAAGATTAGTTCACTTAAAAAATAAGGTTCCTTATTATGAGACTGGAAATTCCTTCTTGTGATGTCTTTGTCTTTTCAGGAAAATCGTGACCTTTATTGGCACATCAAGCAATAACTCTATTCTTTTGATTTAATAAAAATAAAAGTAATGCTGCTTTCCATTCCTGCCCTTTTTTAGCTGTAGCTGACAGCTTACAAATACCAACAACCCTTATTCCATGCAAGCAGTAATGGATCTTTATCTAATAAATTTTCTGTGATAAGTAGCATTGGCATTTTCCTGTGCTCCGTTCTGACACTGTTGGGATTCACATGGATGCTTAAACAGGATCACACTGCTTTAGTAAGGAATGTAATGAAACAAGTCGTGGAAGGAATACACCAATGCAGAAAAATAGATATATGTTATGCATATCTATAATGTGCATATGCATGCTATACGTACATATGTGTATGTGTAAAAGCATACAAATCTATGGAATTTACAGTTTCAACATGTTATTTTATCCTTCCTTAGGTTCTTGGTAATTTAAGCCACATGAAGCAAGTGTGGCTTCAAAACAAAAACAATTTGTCCTTTCAAAAAGCCTGAGAAACAGTAGTCTGGATAATCTGAAATCCTTTGACCTGTTTTTCATACCTCAGATTACTCTGATGTGTTGTGGCTTCTTTTGGGGGGGGGTAGAATGGGGTGGTAGTGTGGGGGCAAATGCTCATGGCAGGGATGTTCTTGCAGTTTATCAGCATCCTTCTTAAAGTGTCGTCACCAATACTGGGAACAATAAAGTTACTTTTGGAATAGGACTGCTAAAACATATTTCTGATTTCAATTTCTGACAGAACAGTTCAGTTCTAATCTGCAATCATTTTCCATTGTTTCTTTTTCTGCCATCAGCCTTGTTGATCATTTCAGAAAGCTACAATTACAGGTTTCTAGCATGCAGCTGCTACTATGCAAAGTATAAATTTTTAGCTGCACCTATATGTAACTGCTTATGAGAGTATTGTGAGTTGGAGTTTTGAGGAGCTCGGGTCTAATTCTGCAAATTGACTTTATCAACTGATCAGTAGTGGCAAAAAGTCATTAGATGTTTTGCAGTCAGCTAAATTGATAGTCCTCTCCAACTGGCTAAAAGTATTGAATCTTCCACGTCTCCTAAAAAGACTTATGTGCAAAAGGTTAATTTACATGGTTGGATTATGAAGCATTTCTTAGTTGCTATCAACTGAAGACTTGTCAACCTGGTTGAAACAGGATTGATAATTTGGCTGCTGTTTGGGTCTTTTATGGTATCCACTTTCAGAGAGGTCATTTCTTTCTTTTGGGTGTCAAGAAGTAAAGAAGCTTTTTTTCCTTCTGGTAGTTACCATAGCTTATCTGATAACGAGTTGTTGCCATTTTCCAAGAAGAGTCAACTGTATACTAATTAAGTTATATGCTTGAATTTTATTCTTAAAACTTCTCATTAGAGAAGGTGAATTTTGAGTGGCTTTATTTAAATATATATGCAAACTTTCTGAATGTTTTCTAACCTTTAAGTGAGTTAAAAATGTTGTTTAATGTCCTAGCTTTTACCTTAATAATTGAAGCAGTTACTGTATTTGTACTAGATGGTTTGTAATTGCTATATAATGTGTAAACTTTATACCACTTTGTTGAGTTTAAGGCAACTTAACTGCTATTTTTTTTCTGGAAATTTGTACATGATATTTTTGTTGATAGGGAAGACAATCAACGAATCTCAATATATAAATTAAATTTGGGTTGTTTTCCCAGCTGTTCAGTAGACTTTCTTAGTCCATCTTGTGCAACTAAGAAACTAGTTACTCTGTGGGTTTTGTGATTCTGTACTACACAAATACGTTATGGTGCAGACTGGAGTATTCATTGTGAAAGATTAGCTGATTTAGCATCTCAGGGTGAATAATGTGTTTGTATGCATTGGTGCTTCTAAAAACCAATGTTTATGTAAGTGTTTGTAACTTCATTGCATAGTTTTGGTTGAAAAAATGTCTTTAATGCATTAATTTTTGATCAGCCTGTGCTCATTACTGATTATGTATGTATTTTGCAGAACTAGAGTGATGTTAGAAGAGGAGGAGGCAGGGGAGGTTTCTGGTGATCACATTCAGTGTAGTTAAACTACGTGATTTGAGAGGGATTAATTTTGATGGCCAGTACTGCTCATGGAAGGCAGAGCCTTGTATGCTGTAATATCATCAGGCTCTGAAAACTTTAGACAGTGCCTAGGCCTGGTGTCAGGTTGGTTCATTGCCTGCTGCTCTTTGTGCACATGGGCTCTGTCCGTCTGTGGCAGTGCTGCCTTGGCTGTCCTACTGCACTGCACGAGCATCTGAGCATCTCTCTCCTCTCCTTACAAAGTACAGTGAGGTTTTGTTTTCCTCTAACTGTGCTATATGGAAGCTGCTTTTAACCTTGGTCTAACTTCAGTTTTTGTTGAGGGAGTAATTTTATCCCTTAAGTACAAACTCTGGATCAGGATTTCATCTTGACTTCATCTTTCATGCTTTAACAAATCTTTTACTCTCTTTGGTGTTCTGCTAGGCCGATGGTAGTACACGATTTGTCTTTACAGAGATAACTACAGTGTCTTAAGTGCTGTTACCCTAAAAAAATAAGTTAGGCCTTTTCCATGTGGCCATTTCTAGAGCACTTAAATGGTAGAGATTGAGGAATAGGCCAGTCTCACTGTATATCTGTGGTAATTTGGTAGGTTAAATATAGTTTGGGTAATGACATATTGACACAGTGTATCTGTGCAACAGTATCATTTTTAGGACTTTGATCTGTGTCAGTAGATCTGACATTATCTTGTAGATCACACATTATCTTGTTGTGCTTTTGAAATAAAACTTTAAAATAAATGAACCAGCTACATCTGAATTGAATCTGGCTTGGAAAGGCAGGCTATGTAAAGCTTCTAGCATTAGGTAAGTGTACTGTATGTAAGGTAAGACAATTTCTGCCATTTGATAAACATGCTGCATAAGATGTACTGATGTTAAATATATTCTTCTTTCTCAGTAAATTGTCATTTATCATTCAATATAGAGACTGTAGAAAACTTGTGAATATGTCACATTTCATTATACATGGCTTCTGCTTGTAGCACTTCCTTAATTAGCTTCCTTGTAGCAGTATGTATGAATTTCAGATGTTAATCTTGTTGTCTCACCATACTGTGTCTTGTTGTATACCAATCAGATGCAAATATTGTGTTTGTTCATTCAAAATATGTTTTAATAGAAATACCCTTATTCTGTAAGTAGCAATGGGTATCCCTTCAGGCTAAAGAGGTTCCTGCATGCAGCCATTTACATGTTAGATCATGCCACGTTAAGATAGCACATGTGAACTTTAAAAATTAACTTTGGAGGATAGGAAGATTTCCAGTAAATAACAGAAACAGGTAACAGGCTACTTCTCCACTGGCCTGCCTCCACAGTCTTTTCTTTCACAGGATAATTATAACTTTAAATCATTAATCCTGTAACTGTTTAAAAAAACCCTGCGTGTATCTTATCATCAGTGTGCCTTGTCAGTGCATTTGTCAGCATCAAAATGTGTCTACATTGAAGTGGAGAATAATGCTTCAGGCACAACCTACAGTCTGAGTGAGGAGTGTTTGCACTAATCATGACACTTTATGGAGTTCGTTTTATGTGGAAATAAATTTGACTTTTTTTTTCGTCTTTCAGCTGGTCAGTATTGGTTCTTCCTATAACTATGGCAATGAAGATCAGGCTGAATTTCTGTGTGTTGTCTCAAAGGAATTGCATAACACTCCTTACGGCACAACCAGTGAACCCAGTGAAAAAGCAAAGGTGAGTTACTAGACAGTGGACTAAAGAAATGGTGTCGAATTGGGTTGGCTTCACAAGTCATGACAGATCTACCTTTATTCTGGACCATTATGTAATTGTCCTTTTTTCCTCTTGTTCAGGACTAATAATGATTCCTTGTCTATTGTATGAGGGACTGTAAATGGTACAGTCAGCATGCATTTGTTATGCATGCCTGAATTATTTAAATAAAATACTCTGTACTTTTTCAGTACCTATTTTTTTCAGGTATTGGCAGCTATTTGCTCTTTACAGCTGAGAAACTAGGTTTTGTTTCTTATACATTTGAATGACACATGTTCAGTTAAAAACTGTTTTTCTTGCTTGACTTCAGCTGAAGAAATCTTACTGTCAAGAATGGAACTTGAAAAGTACTATCTCTGTAAATGTTATAAATGTTATAAAATGAAGATAATTTTTAATATTTTCGGGGTTCTACCAAGTCTGCTTTCTGTAACCAACTTTACAAAAAGATTGTAATGGGCACAGCATCTTAGCGTTTTACTCAGTTATATTTCAGAATTTATACAAAGGAAAACATAAAACCACAGCTGACTAGCCATAAGGTAGAGCAGTTCTGTAATGTGTTGTGAATAGTGAACAGCTTTTATCACTGTATTGCTGCTTTGTATGAGATGTCTACAGACAAACTGGATAGACCTGTAGTTGGCTTAAAAGCTTTTGATTTCCCTTATGTAGATGGAAAGCAATTGGTAAAGCTTGCTTTTTCAAGAATCACCTTCAAAGAAATTGATTCTGAAATAGTGCTAAGAATGGAATTGAGTCCTGGCACTGAGACTTCAAACAGATAAAACTTCATTACTTTTTGTGCTTTGTAACATGCTTATGCACCTACACATAGGGAATAATGTTTATGATTTGCAGGGTAAATATACTCTAAACCATGTGTTGCATTCCTAGTGAAATGAGGTAATTTATGTTCATCACTGTTGAGATAAAACTTCCAAAGAGTTGTAAAGGATTAACGTTGTCAGAGATAAACAGTGAAACTGGGTAAGCCATGTCTTACTCTTTCAAAACCCTCGTTAAGGTCTGCTTTTGCCAGGATGCTTGAGGAAGACTTTGAAAGTTAGTGGTGTGTGGTAACAATGTAGGGCTAAGATATCTACCTGAAATAAAATGTGGAATTCTAGAGCCTAATAAACATCTTCATAAGGAATGGTAGTGCATCTTCAGGTAATTTCAGAAGTTGCCAGAGTTATGTTGCATCCGTAATGTAAAAGAAAATATGGATCAAATGCAAGTTAAGCTAGTTGAGAGTGCATTATGACTGTGTAAATGGAGTAGCACTGAGAGAGGCTGTATTAGACATCTCCATTAATGTGCTGCTTGGTCATTGTTTCAGAGAAGAGAGCAGAGCATCAGCTGACCACTGTGATGAATAGGAATTACTGTTGATTTTGGTTGGAGATATGTACATTCTCTCCTTTTGTCCTGGAAGAGGCAATACTTGAAGAATAACTATTTTATATATTATGTTTCTAAAATATAATATTTTTATATATAACTATATGTTGTGACTGGAAAAAAGGGAAAAAGAACTTAGTTTTTTCTTGAGAGGTTTCTAACAGCTGTGTTCAAGAATCTTGACTTCAGAAGATACTGTCTCCATAGTTCCCTCTTAGTGAGCATTATCATCTAGTCTCAGTAGTGTCTGAGCTGGTCTTCATGAAGTTCATATGATTGAAATTCTGGTATCTGCTTTTATATACAGAATAATATTTTTATTGACAAGCACTTCAGTTTTAGTTAATAGTCCTGGATTTTCAGAATAGGAGAAAGTATCTTCTGATAGCCATCTAATCAAGCTTCATTCCTTCTTAGGGACTATTTTCTTGTGTTTTCTTTTTTTAGTTAACAGCATAATAAGTTAGTAGATGACTTCTGTGTAACCTTCTAATACACCTAAGCAAAGGAAATTCATCTTAAATGGTTCCACTGGCTTTTACTGGTAGCCATGGCACAACCAAAAGGTAACCTGTATTCCCACAAGCAGTCTTCTCTTTATACCACTTTACTGACTTGACTGTTAGCTTCTCTCTGCTGACTTCAGGATATTTGGAAGGGGAAATTGTCATGAAATCTGTTACATTCCTTCTTGAAATGGTCAGCTGTCATACTTTTTTATACAAAGAGTGGAGGTCCCAGGTAAAAGTAAATAAATGTCATTGCCAGATGCTTCAGGTGTATGTGGATTGTACTTTGTTGCAGCTCTAACTCACCTGCAATCTCTTCTTTTCCCTTCCTTCTTCTATACGTGCTGCATGCTGCATGACACTCAGAGTGAGGATGAAGAAACGGATTACGATATGAATGACTCAGATTAAGTGTAAATGTTATGGTGAGCACTAGTTGCCCTAGGATTTTAGCAGATGCTTTTCTGCCCCATCCAGTACCCACCCCCACTAGTGCTGTCCTTTGGCTAGTCCTGGTGGTGTGTGTGTGTGTTTGTGATTGTAATTGTGGCATGGTTGGCAAAGATAGAATTCCTGTTCTGGATATTACTTCTTTGACAGAATAATTACTATTGCTTTTATAAACTGTATTGTGAGTAGTACCTTTAAAGCTTTGCTGAGAAGGGAAGTTCTTCATGTGGATTCTAGGGCCAGAAATGCTTTTCATTAATTAATTTTTTTCTTACTTTATGTGCACCAGCGTTTCTGTCAGATAGGTTTATTACATGTAGAGGTATCTGATACAAACGTACTGTATACGTTTTCAGTAAATGTCTGATTTGGCAGTAATTTAACAAACTTGACTGAAGTGCAGTATAGTCCAAAGGTGGTCTTAACTGATAATTTTGAAACTAAGGATTTTCTTAGTAAAGATGTGGCAAATATAAATAAATAGTGTGATCTTGGTGCCACAGGTGTATTTGTCACAGGAAACAGCTCTGGGGAGGGATCCTTTCCACTGTAGTTTGACATCTGATTGAAGATCAAGTTACATTGAAAGTCACAAGTGGAAGAGCACAAAAAAAGCTGTCTGAAAAAACAACTTAGGCACTTTTCCTAATGTGTTGTTAAGTACTTCTCATATTTATTCCACTCTCTAGTTTGTAGAAGATAACATACCATTGAGTGTTCAGTGGTGTGGTGTGGTGTGGTGTGGTGTGGGTGGTCACTTGAACCTGTATAAATTGAAGATACTTACCATTGCATGAGACTAAACTTCAGCTTCTCACCTATACATCTAAACTTTTTAGCTGTAAAGCAGCCTTACACTTCTCTCTGGAGTTTGGACAATGCTCTCAGGCACATGGTGTGATTCTTGAGGTTGTCTTGTGCAAGGCCAGGATCATCACTTAATGATCCTTGAGGGTCCCTTCCAGCTCAGGATATGCTGTGATTTATGAAGTCACTGCACGTGGCTGAAAAAGAACCTACATTATTCTCTGAAATGATGCTAACAGAAGCTAGTGCTAGGGCAGTGTAAAGCCTTTTGCCAGGTCTTCAGGAATGGCTGAAAGGAATGGATCAAATCTGAAGCTTTATTGAAGCAAAGTAAACTGGCACTTCACTGGAATTGAACGTAATATTCTTAAGCTGACTGAGAGGCAAACAGTCCTTAAAACACTTTTCTATCAGCAGCAGCTTTCTTTTGAGTGGGAAGAGATAGTGTTCATGTTCTGCTTCCCTAAGAAGCAATCACATTCAGGCTCCTAGAATATGAGAGTTCATTCAGCATTGTTTAGAATTTTTAAGCCTGCTTTAGATCTGGTGCACCTATAGGGAAAATAGAACAGAAATATGAAAATAAGGAAAATCCTCTATACAGCAGATTGTCCCTACTAGAGTTGGGACAATCCCCAGTATCAGTACAGGCTGGGTGACAGGTGGATTTACTGCAGCATTGCAGAAGACTTGGGGATACTGGTGAGTGAAAACCTGAATTTGAGCCAGCAATACTTGCAGACTAGAACGCCAGTTTCCAGGACTGCAACAAAAAGATGCGTGGCCAGCAGGTTGAGGGAAGTGATTCTTCCCCTCAACTCTACTCTCCTGAAATCCCACCTGGAATGCTGCATCCAGCTCTGGTATTCCCAGTACAAGAAAGACCTGTGCGAGTGGGTCCCGAGGAGAGACAGGAAAATGGGCTGGAACACCTCTCCTGTGAAGACAGGCTGACACAGTTGGGGTTCTTAGGCCTGGTTAAGAGAGCCCGAGAGCTGATGTTACTGCATTTCTAATACTTAAAAAGCCTTATGAGGAAGATGAAGAAAGACTTTTTACCAGGGATTTTGGTGAAGGAGTGGGGTTTTTAAACTGAAAGAGGCTTGCTTTAGATTGGACATAATGATGAGCATATTCTTTACCATTAAGGTGGTGAGACATCTGGCACAAGTTGTCCAGAGAAGCTGTGGTTGTTACATCACTGGAAGTGTCCAATGCCATGTTGGACAGGGCTTGGAGTAACTTGGGACAGTGGAAGGTGTCCCTGCCCGTGGCAGGGGTTTGAATGAGATGATCTTTAAGATCCTTTCCAACCCAACCCGCTCTTGTGATTCTCATTTCCCCTTCAGCAGAGGTAAAGGTTACAGAAGAAGTGCCAAGAAAAGTGTGCTGAATTATTGCCTGATGGAATAGAATTTTCAGCTTTATGTTAGGATTCCTGGGCTCAGTAGAGTGTGCAACGTTCAGTGTCCAGATCTGCTCAGCTTTATCTTATTTCATGTGTTCCTGATACTACAGAAAATAGTTCTAAGTCTATTAATCTTGCAAGTACTCTTCTAGGAATGAATCAACTCAAATACTTCATATTAAATCAGAAATATTAACAAAATTAATAGATCCAGTATTATTTTCTAGTTACACAGGTATTTGTCTCAGCCATTTTTGTCTCTTGGATATGGTTTCATTTACTGACTCCATTTGCTGGGTCAGACTGTTATCCTCTATTGTGGGCTTCTACTTCAGCGCTTTGTTCTCTGCTCTGACCAACAGAAAATACGTGGGGAAGGAGTTTTAGTATGAAGCATTTATGATATCTGCTCCTGATATATTTCTCCACCTTCCAGTAAAACTCAGTATGGGAATTTTGGCTTCAAGCCTTCATCCAGGTCATTGCATGAAGATACAATGGCACTGTAATACCACGAGTTGGTATCGGTGGCACTAACTTCTGTCAGTTTATCTAGTCCCTTTGGCAGGTATTACACTAGCAGTTGCTGAGTAATTTATAGAGCCTGATTTATCCCCACAGAATTCACTTACAACTTTCCTGCAGTATCATATTAAATGCTTTTTGCTTAGTACGCATAGTCATGTGTAACATTCATGAATTATCTTCATGAAATAGGAGGTGTTTACTTCTAAAAATGTACCTTAAAGCATGACATGGCTGGTGGAAAATGTCCTTCTGTATTTTTGAAATTTTTCAAAGTAGTTGCGCTGACATCTGGCTTTACAACTTCAAAGCAATAATGCTGAATTTGAAATGAACTTTGCATGCACAAAGCTAGATCCAGATGTAGGAAGGAGTACAGTGAGCAAGTAATAAAGTGGATTTTTGATTTTTTGAGCTGACACCACACTGCCTCTGAACTGTCCCTGATCTACACAAATGGTAATGAGTGTTTTACGGACTCCAGCCCTTAAAAAATCCCATGGAGTTGTGCAAAGCAGGTGAGACCTTGCTTGACTTCAGTCACTATGAAAGACATAATAGCCATTTTAACAATATTGAAAGGAAACATCAAGTTTTAAAATTTAAAACCATACTTGAAACTGTTGCGTGAAGCAATTGCCAGCCTTTACTTTACAAGCACAGAGATGGAAGGGTTTGTGTGTGCTGGCACATTCTGTGGGCTGGAATGTGCTACTGGGTGTTTATTGTAACATCAGGCTACACGAAGATCCTAATAGATGGAAATTCCATCTTAAGGGCAGGTCTGCCATTGTCCAGGGATCGTGCCTTTGCTTTCTTTCAGTTTTTGAAATAAAGAGCCTTTCCCAATACTAAGAAAACTATCAAGGAACAAAAGAAAATGAAGTATCCTAAGACTTTTACGTACATATTAACATTCTTAAGTACTTGAGCTCAGTGTTTGAAGCTTTGCTTAATGCTTTGTTTGCCTTTTGTCATGATTGGTTCTGCAGCCTGCTGACATAGTCCTAAAGTACTATGAAGTTCGACTGTTTACCTCATTATTGCTGGTAATGATTCAGTTTAGAGCAGCAACATTAAAATATTGTTGCTTGAACAGACAGTCCTAAGACTTGGATCCTTTCCTCTCTGGAGCAGCCAAAATAAACTGGAACAGAAAAGGAGGAAAAATAGCCAAACTGGAAGTAGAGTGAGTGTTGTTCATTTAAATCTTGCCAGGTTGTACTTGGTCTTTAAAAACTTCTTGCATCATCACACCCAGTGTGCCATTTCTGCACATTTTGATTTGCTAGTTCATATTTTCAGTGCTAATTTATGGAACACAATTGGCATCTGAAACTTTAGAAAGTTTAGGACGTTTTACTGGAACAGGAAAAATGAAGATTAAATTCCATTTCTAGTAAAGTACCGAGGTTAATTTACCACATAGGACCTCAGGATCTTCTGAACTAAGTTGCAGTGGCTTACTTTTTACAATTGCCGACTCTTTAAGTCTTATTAATGTATTAATTATTCATATTAGTAATACTCAATTCCTAGCAATGTTTCACACCTGTTTTAATGGTATTTGATAGTAGACATATCAGTTTGTCTTTTTTCAGCTTTAAAGCACAGACCCCAGGAATGTCCTCGAACCAGGTCCCTGACACATTACCAGTTATTTAAAATAGTCATTATGTTGCTCTTTCATCTCCATGCTTTAGGAATGACAGTGAGTTAATTATCATTTATAGAATTTTTATTGGTCTATTTCAGATTTTGCAAGAACGAGGTTCCAGGATGTGAAGACAATATTGAACGGTGACATTTTTTTTCTTTTATTCGAAGATTCAGTGATTTGTCACACTGAAGAGGCTTGGCTGCAAAAGAAAAAATCTGATTTAGACAATTTGCTGTTGATCTGAGTTCAACCATGTTTGCCTATAAGCTGGTGTCAACTTCTGGAAGCATTGCAAGATTACATAATGGGAATAGATGGTGTGGGGAGTGTGTGTTAAGTTTTGACTGTAGTGCATGGTTGTACTCTCTTGTTGGCTGATTGACACTGGTCATTTGAAAAGAAATTACCATGCATTCACATTTTCCTCGGAGACATGTAGCACTTAATGTCTGGTGCTGGATGACCCAATGTTGATCAGTTTGGAGACATTTTCCTACTAATCATTGTAAACCTTGAAAGGACAATGTAATTGGTGCTACACACAGACACACACACACACACACACACACACACACACACACACAAATGTTACAGCCCAGAAACACAAGTATTTGGGCGTATGTTGTTTCAGAATCAGTATCAGCCCCAGTTGACTGTATTATACTGCACATTTCTCATGGCTCTGTGACATAATCTATTATGTAATAACAGCCTAGGAGATCAACTGAAACTAGCACGTGTAAAAGTTATACAATCGAGAAGAGGTTTCTCTGAAGGGTGTATATATTGACTGGATGTATAGCTTGTTTTAATACCCAAAGGGAAGACTAAACTCAGAGAAAATGGCCTTCCTCTGAGTTATTCTTGATGTTCCCTCTGTTAAAACAGTCTCCTGTAAAAGTTATGCTCCAGTCCTGGTCACATGCTTGAAAGTGGAATCAAAATTCACTGAAAATGACCAACTGAACATCCTGTTTCTTTGGAGGTGTTTGTACTCATATGTGTGTTTGTGCTTTTATAAAATGCCTATAAGCATTGAACTGTGTGGATTAGGATAGAGATTTTTTGAGAGCTGAAGGTTTTACAGAAATACTGCTGGCTAGTCCTAAGTCTCTGTCTCTATGACTTGGATCATAGAGACAACCAACCTTAGTGTGAACATAAACTTATCCAGTTGAAAAACCTGATTACATTGGATATTCAGGATACATGTAATCAACTTTTCTCTTTCTATACAGTTTCAACTATGCAGTTAAGAACAGTGTTTGAACAGAATGTGGAACAGCTTTGATGGTTTGTTCTTGATAAAGGTTAATACACAAGACACACACTGTTTAGAGCAAGATCTTTAGCACATCTTCAAAACACTTAATGAAATGGACAGTGTAAAACTTGGTTTCAATGACTCATGGAACCAGTGGAAGGGAGTTTCAAAAAGCTACAAGATGGTTTTAAATTCTAAGGACATTACAGTTTTCATTCTTAGTAATTTCAGAATTTATGCATATACTGTAGGTTATCCTTTACACAAAAGCCTGATTTTCAAACACCCAGGGTCTACTTTTTAAAATTTTTTTTTAAAGGACTTAGACATTGATATAAGTTTGGCAAAACAATTTGTAAGAAACATTTCTACTGAACAGGTTAAGCAATGGGCTAAATGTTTTGACCATGTGCCTAATGCTTGAAAGGATTTGTAATGCATTTTGCGACTTGGATGTGGTCTGCACGGGAAGCTGCTGGCCCCTCCACAACACGTACAATTTTTGTCTTTTTTTAAGAAGTTAAAACTGAATTAATTTACTAAAACTGTAACTGTGTAGGGGGAAATGTTTATACTTTTATACTTTTTTAGGTACCCGTATTTTATCAGATGTCCCCTAAATAGTGACAGATTATCTCGTGTATGTGAAAATAAGCATAACAATTGTCTGTGTTAACTGCATATTAAAACATTTCCTCTGCTGCAGTAGTCACTGTGTTTTTAAGCAGTATGACTCCACCAAATTCTCTGAGCTCCCCACCTTATGGAATTGCAGCCAACCACGATACTTGTTGTTTTCTTGACGTGCTCTACAGAGTAATTCAGCATTGATCTAAGTGGATTTTAATGCCTAGAACACCAGTTTTACAGCCATCCTTCAGAATCAGCATTTCTGTTGCCTCTCTTATTAAACCCAAAAAGGACAGACTATGAAATAAAGTTAAATTTTCCTGAATGGCATCAGCAAACCATGAGTAACAAACTGAGCAAACTGAACAAACTTAGAGTATATAAAATAGTGTTTTTGTCTTAAGTACAGGGGTTTTTTTTTCCCACTGGAATATTTTCGGTTCTAAAACCTGCTTTTATGATGAGATTACCTGCAGTTTAGTTTACATTGTATTCCTGACATAGCTAATTTTAGGGAAATGAGTGTTTAATACTTTTTTGCACTTTGTTTCCAATACCTCACAAAGATTTGAAGGAGAGAATAGAGAGAACTGTAGTAGGCAGGTACCTTGTAAATTATTTTAAATACACTGTTGTTTGAGCCTACCTGAAGTACCTACTTTCCTGTTCTTGCTATTGTCATTGTTGCTTTAATTTTTGTGATCATGTGAGGCTTTCAGGTAGATGCAAATGCTCTCTTCAGCTTTTTTCAAGGCATTAAGAATTTATCCCTAAATAAGTTTTGTTTCTTTTTGTTTGGCTGTTGAAGTTTCAAATAAAGTTAGTGACATTAACAAGGCAAATGCATTAGAGTCCAATCTGCATCACCAGGCTTTGCAAACATCGCTTCATCTGTTGAGATCTTTCAGGATGAAGTAATGTTCCTGTACAGTTTAAACTGGAGTCCTTTGTCTTTCTCAGCCATTTGGAGAGTCCATACCTGAGAACTGCCTGTGACTGCAGCGCTGATGGGTTCACTAGAAGGAACTATTAGTTCAGTAGCACTATTTTGCTGGAACTGCAAAGCTGTACTGCAAACTCCTTGGACTTAACTCTGGACATACACAATTCCTACGCTCTGTTCTTAATTCCGAATCACTATTATCACTTAAATCATGCACTCTATTCTTAAATCAGAACAGTATTCCAGGTTAGAACTTTAGATCCTGAGCTGGAAGAGATGATCATAGCAGAAGGAATAAAGCAGAGAGAGATGAAATTCCTTAAAGGCATTTACATGTCAAACTTCTTGCAAAACTTGTTTAAAAACAGAAGTTCAAATTTGCTATAGCAATTTCTTGCTTTGAGTTAGGAAACAGCATATTGTTGGCCTTAAGTTTTCTCAGAGGCTATTTTCCTTTATTGGAGATGACATTTTTATATTACATGCTTTTGACTTCTTCAAGCAGCAAGTGAATCAGAATTTTGCAATGAACAAGTAATTCTCAAAGACATGAATGTCACATGGTCCAAAATAACTGTCCAAACGTATACTCTGACTCAGCAGCTCCCAGGCTAAATGTTACCTGGGATTTTGTCCTATTTACTGGGGGATTTCCATGGATTATGGTTAATCGCAATTTTTTTATCCCACAGTAATTTAATTGTATGTCAACGACTTTATTGAATTTAGAGGTTTTTTTGATTCTTTACTTAAGTTTCCATCATCAGAATCATTTACTCATCAAAGCTGGAAAATGTACTGTGTTTTTTTCAAACTCAGATTTCTTGTAATTATAAAAGTTCCTTTCATCTTGCATTGTAGCATTAGGAGAAGATATTTCTTAAAAAATGAATCTCGATGAATCTATCTGACTTTTTTGTTTTCAGATTTTCTTTAGACAATAGCTGTGTAGCTCCATTTCTAGCAATGTGAATGCACAAGTATTATTGATTAGAAACAGGACTATTTCCTGCAGATTCAAAAATTGAATCAATCTCTTTTTCTGAGATAGGTGTATTTTTGGGTTATTTTTCAGGAGGAAAATGAAAACTGGATGATTAAACAAAAGATAACTTGGCAGCAAGTCTGCTGAGTAGGATGATAGTGTTAACAGAAAAACGCTTCTCATAATAGGACACTGCTCTGTGAATGTCTGTTGAGGTTGTTGAGAGTTGTCAGTCGCTGTTTAAGCTGCAGAGAGCTACCACCAGCAAAATAGCACACATTAGTTAAAATTTTCAATTAATATTACAAAAATGAACTTGGAGTGGAAAAATGCAATAGTATCTGGTTCAGTGGAATTAAATACAATCTGGATTATAATTGCCCAGATATACTGGAATGTATTCCTTGGGAAGTACTGGGAGAAGAGTGAAGTTGTCTTGGGCTTTTTGAGGAAGATCGAAGTCAAATGAAAGCCTTAAGTCTGGGATTTTGTTCACTCGAGATGTGATGAAATCAGAAAGTGGCGTTCTCCTATTTTTATTCTCTCTCGCCACGTCAAAAGTTTCAAGTTTTTCAAGTTGACTTTTTTAATCAGCCCTTGAACTGTGGGGCTCTTGAAAAGAGGTGAAATTTTGTTATGCTTGTAACAGTGTCTGTTATCCTAAGACAGCAGGGTTAAAACCTGAGTGGTCATTGTTTCTAACACAACAGTTTTGAAATACTTAAGCCTGAGGCTGCTGCCTGTTACTTCACTGTAGTTTAGACTGCAGTTATCTCCAGGACAATCTTGGGATCTTACAATTTTGTGTAGAATTATTGATTCTTTACATAGTATGAATATTCAGTTAAAAAAAATGTGGAAGTCTCTCTGAACTCAGTAAGTTTTCTTTTGTTTCACAAAAAGCAGGAGCTATCTTTAAAGGCTTCGTAACGAACAGAGGCTTTAAAGGGCTAAATAGATCTTATTGTCCAGTTTGCCTAAATGGCTGTCAGAAGGAACTCTTTGCATTTTCAGAGCAGAAATGCTAAGGGCTAAAATGCTTTCCAGGGCTAATTTGAGGTTCCAGAGACATACAATGTTTGAAAAACAACTAGTCTGTTTTCCTTGCAACTCATGGACTCTAAAATATTTTTTACAAATGGCTGAACCAATTGCAGATGTAAGTGTTCCTATATGGCTTGGATTTTCAGTATCCAGATGGGATAAGAGCACACTAGAGAAGGCAGTACACTTACCCTCCACTTTATTATTATTATCTTTGCTGAAATCGAACAACTTTCATGAACGCTACTGGCAATGGAGAAGCTTTGAGGAAGATTCTGCCCCAGGAAATTGTCACAGAGTATTTTTTTGTCACAGAATATTTCTTTGCAACTTAGT